TTTTAATCTACCTGGGATTTAGCATGCTTATTCTTCAGAGGCATGTATTGGGTTCCCTCTGAGCAAAAGCAGTGATCGTTTCTAGTGGGCTCTGAGAAGTGTTCTGATGCTGGACTCCTCGTATAGGCCTCAAGCAGTCTATCCTCATCTCTCCTATGCATGCTTAGGTACTTTACTCTGTAAACCCATGGCCTTTTCAAAAAACGGATAGTAGGAGAGTAAGAATTTTCATCTCTGGAAACCAAGAAGAGTTAAAAATGCTCCAGGTGGAATGACTGACGGAGGTTTAACTAGCCACACTACTACATGGAATTATTCTTTCCTTAGTGTAGCTTACTCACAGTTTTTTTTAATTAAGGCTTTATGTTTTTTAGGGCAGTTCAAGGCCCACAACAAAACTGAGGGGCAGGTATAGAGAGTTCCCAAATGCCTCCCTGCCCCCATGAGAAGCATGACCTCTCATCCATTATCAATATCCTGTACCAGATTGGTACATTTGTTCCAATTGCTGAACCTACATTGACACATCATCATCACTCAGAGTCTGTAGTTTACATTATGGTTCACTCTTGGTGTTACATTCTGTGGGTTCAGACAGGTGTATCGTGGCATATATCTATCAACATGGTATCATACAAAGTAGTTTCACTGCCCTAAAAATCCTCTGCGCTCCACGTATCCATCCCATCCACCATCCCCAATTCCTGGCCACCACTGATCTTTGTACTTTTTCCATAGTTTTGCCTTTTCTAGAATGTCATATAGTTGTAATCATATAGTATATAGCCTTTTCACATTGGCTTCTTTTACTTAGTAGTATGCATTTAAAGTTCCTCCATGTCTTTTCATGGCTTTATAGCTCATTTCTGCTTAGCACTGAATAATATTCCATTCTCTGGATTACCACAGTTTATTCAGCTACTAAAGGACATCTTGGTTGCTTCCAAGTTTTGGCAGTTATGAATAAACCTGTTAGAAACATCTGTGTATAGGTTTTTATGTGGACATATGTTTTCAACTCCTTTAGGTAAACAACGTAGGAACACTATTGCTGAGTTGTTTGGTAAAGTATGTTTAGTTTTGTAAGAAACCACCAAACTATTTTCCAAAGTGGCTGTACCATTTTGCATTCCCACCAACGAGTGAGAGTTCCTTTTGCTCCGCATCCTCATCAGCATTTGGTATTGTCAGTGTTCCGGATTTTGGCCATTCTAATAGATGTGTAGTGGTATCTTGTTGGTTAAATTTGCATTTCCCTGGTGACATATAATGTGGAGCGTATTTACAAATGCTTATTTGCTGGGGCGCCTGGGTGGCTCAGTTGGTTAAGCGACTGCCTTCGGCTCAGGTCATGATCCTGGAGTCCCGGGATCGAGTCCCACATCAGGCTCCCTGCTCAGCAGGGAGTCTGCTTCTCCCTCTGACACTCCTCCCTCTCATGCTCTCTGTCTCTCATTCTCTCTCTCGCAAATAAATAAAATCTTAAAAAAAAAAAAAATGCTTATTTGCCATCTGTGTATCTTCTTTCATGAGGTGTCTATAAGGTCTTTGGCCCATTTTTATTTATTTATTTATTTTAATATTTTTTTATATATTCATTTGAGAGAGAGCGAGAGCACCAGCAGAGGGGAGAGGCAGAGGGAGAAGCAGGCTCCCCGCTGAGCAGTGAGCCCAATGCAGGCCTGATCCCAGGACCTGGAGATAATGACTTGAACCGAAGGTAGATGCTTAACCATCTGAGCCACTTAGGCGCCCCTTGCCCATTTTTTAATTTGGGTTGTTTTCTTATTGTTGAGTTTTAAGAGTTCTTTATATATTTTATATAACATTCCCTTATCACATATGTCTTTTGCAAATGTTTTTTCCCAGTCTGTGGCTTGTCTTCTCATTCCCTTGATACTGTCTTTTGCAGAACAGAAGTTTTTCATTTTAATGAAGTCCAGCTTATCACTGACTTCTTTCATGGATCATGTCCTTGGTGTTATGTATAAACAATCATTACCATACCCAAGGTCATCTAGGTTTTCTTCTATGTTATCTTCTAGGAGTTTTCTAGTTTTGTGTTTTACAGTTAGGTCGGTGATCCATTCTGAATTTTTGTGAAGGGTGGAAGGTCCTTCTCTAGGTTCATTTCCTTTGCACGTGGATGTCCAGTTGTTCCAGCACAATTTGTTGAAAAGACGGTCTTTGCTCCACTATATTGCTTTTGCTCCTTTGTGAAAGATCAGTTGGCTGTATTTGTGGGGGTTCTGTATTCTGCTTCATTGATCTGTTTGTCTGTTCTTCACCAACACTACCCCGTCTTGATTACTGAAGCTTGATAATAAATCCTGAAGTAAGGTAGTGTCAGTCCTCCAACTTTGTTCTCCTCCTTCAATAATGTGTTGACTATTCTGGGTCTTTTGCTTCTGCATATAAATTTTAGAATCCGTTTGTCAACACCTCACCGTTTTTTGAGAGCAATATTTCTACTAAGTAATTCCAAGTAAAACATAGATGTCTTCTCCAAACTTTTATACTATTGTCAAAATTATAATCACATGACCATTAAGTCAATGGTGTCTCTCATTAATGAGTTTATCCTACCTTTAGTTGGTTATTCTCCTGTCCATAGCAAAGCACAGGGGGATGGGAAAGCAACGTCCCAGGCCCTAAGGGCTCCCATTCCGTCCCTGCTCCATATACTTATGAAAGGCTTTCTGAGAGGAGCGGTAGTGGCAGAAAAAGCAGGCCTTGTCCTAAACATAAGATTGATTCACCATCAGAGTGCGGGGTGCCAGGGTGGCTCAGTCGGTTAAGCGTCTGCCTTCGGCTCAGGTCATGATCCCGGGGTCCTGGGATCGAGCCCCGCGTCGGGCTCCCTGCTCAGCGGGGAGCCTGCTTCTCCCTCTCCCTCTGCCTGCCACTCCCCCTGCTTGTGCTCTCTCTCTGTCAAATAAATAAATAGAATCTTTTAAAAATGTTTAAAAAAAAAAAAGATTCACCATCAGAGCAGTGGTTTGTCACCCCACCTCCACCTTTGGTGGGTATGTGATTCTCTTCTCCTAAACTGCCGGAGCAGGCCAGAGTGTATATGCCCTTGGAGGCTTCAGCCATTTCCCTGCCACCTGCTTGCCAACAGCGCAGCTGTTTAGTGGTACGTGTGGAGTCAGCAGGAAACAGTGTGAACTCTAAGCCAACACTGTACCATAGCACAGCTCAGGGCAGCAGGAAATGGAGATCCAGCGTCCTGTCCACCTCATCATTCAACGCCTGTCCATTACGTGAGATACATCTAACCCCTATCCATCATGTGACATACTTTCAGCAAGTTATGTAACCTCTAGAACTTTGATTTTGTCATCTATAAAATGGGAACAATAAATAGCTATGGGGCAGACTCTTGTAAAGATTAAATGAGATGAAACATCCCTAGCATCTTTCCTGGCAGTTGGTGGGCAACCAGGAAGGTTAATACCCTTCCAAATAATTGGCATCCAGAGAACGGAAGGAAGGAACGAAGGAAGGAAAAGGCAGATTGTTACCAAGATACTGATGTTTAAATTTGGTTTCATCTTCTACATCCTCACTAACATCCAAAAATACAGCAATACTGGGGCATCTGGCTGGCTCAGTCGGTGAAGTGTGCAACTCTTGAGCTCAAAATCTTGAGTCCAAGCTCCATATTGGGCGTAGAGCTTACTTTAAAGAAGAAAATTATGATCTCTCTCTACCTCTCTCTCTCTTCTCTCTCTCTATACATATATATTATATATACACCAATACCAAGTTACCACTTTTTGCCTGTTGAATAAGCAAGATTTTTACGACAGTTTTCAGTGCTGAGGAGGGTGTAGCCTGCACTTCTGGCAGATATGTGAGTAGGCCCACATTCCGTTTGAAAGCAGTTCAAGATACGTATCAAAAACCTTACAATGTCCTTATCCTTTGATCTGTCCCAAAGACTCTCCTGAGGAAATGCCTTTGATAGACCTAGAATTAGTCTGTACAAAGTTGTTCGCCACAGCATTCATTATTTATAGTAGTAAAAATCTAGGGGTGCCTGGGTGACTCAGTCAGTTGTGTCCAATTCTTGATTTCGGCTCAGGTCATGATCTCGAAGTCATGGGATCAAGCCCTCCATCGGGCTCTACCTCAGTGCAGAGTCTGCTTGTCCCTGTCTCTCTGCTCCTCCCCATGCTCATTCTCTGTCTCTAAAATAAATAAAATCTTATAAATAAATAATAAATAAAGTTTTGTACACACACACCATAGAGTAAGTATAGCCATTAAAAATAGTTTTTAAGACTGCCAAGATGGGAAAATAAAATACAAAAAACTTCATATATTATCTGGGAAAACCAGGTTATAAAACTGTATATATACTATGATTCTAACTTAGTGGGGTTTTTTTAAATTTTATTTTATTTATTTTTTTAAAAGTAGGCTCCATGCCCAGCATGGAGCCCAACACAGGCCTTGAACTCATGGCCCTGAGATAAAGACCTGAGCTGAGATCAAGAGTCAGATGCTTAACCGACTGAGCCACCCAGGCGCCATTCTAGTTTAGTTTTGTATACACACACATAGACTGGCAGGAATTATACCACATCTTTTTTCTAGCTTTATTGAGATATAACTGACATATAAACTGTGTAAGTCTAAAGGTACAGTGTGTTGATTTGATACATTTATATATTGCAAAATGATTTCCACCACAGCATTAGTTAACACCTCCATCCTGTCACATAATTACCATTTCTATTTTGTGGTGAGAACGTTGAAGATCTACTCTCTTACCAACTTTCAAAGGAATATACCACATTTAGCTGTGTCTTCCGTGTTTTTTCCTGGACAGTAGGAGTTGTAATGAATGTTTTTCCTTTCATAATTTTGTTTATTTTCCAAATTCTCTCCAGTGTATTACATTTAAAATCAGGAAAATGGTATTAATTGGCGTAGGTATACTAAGCATTGTGTCCCTTTGAAGTGGCTAGTAATATTCTGCTTCATTCCCACAGCTGTTGCTGGACACCCATTCCTTGAAGATGGTCCTGCTCGATCTACCTTCCATTGGCTCACAGGTGGTGAGGAAAGCACCTGCCAGTTACACTAAGATTGTTGTGAAAGGCATGACTCGGGCGGAAATGATACTCAAGGTGGGGCTTGTATCTTCTTCAGGGTTTCTGTTAAAAGGGGCTGGTTATCTGATGACTTATTCCAAGTAGAACTGGTTTTGGGAAGTATAGATTAGGGCCTGTGTCCGTCAGTCCCAAAGGATTGTCCACATTCTTTGGCTGGACTAGATTTTGGCCTCATCAGATATTGTTGAAAGTCAATGGACAGTTACTCAGGGGATCAGTAATTCTTTCTGACAAATGAATTTTTCTTTGCAAAGGGATTCTCTTGTAGTGGGATTTGGCCAAGATTGGAAATTAGGTGGGTTGTCGCGGTGAATCAGTGTCTCAGTCAAGGATCTCTTTGCTTCTCAGCAGGAATTTCCAGCCCAGCTATCAGTTACTCCCTTCCACATAAACCTCTTCGGCTTTCTGTACTCTGCAACTTTACAGGAACTCCAAACAGATGTTGCAGTAATTGAATCTAATCAGCAAATGGGCTTTCTAAAGCCCCATTTAACAAATTATTATATGTGGGTGATGATGTTGAAAATGTCTGAAGCCTTGGGGCGCCTGGGTGGCTCAGTTGGTTAAGCGACTGCCTTCGGCTCAGGTCGTGATCCTGGAGTCCCGGGATCGAGTCCCACATCGGGCTTCCTGCTCAGCAAGGAGTCTGCTTCTCCCTCTGACCCTCCTCCCTCTCATGCTGTCTCTCATTCTCTCTCTCTCAAAATAAAAATAAAATCTTTAAAAAAAAAGAAAATGTCTGAAGCCTTGAGCACCTGTATCTGATTTTCACCTGCCCTTGAGAAGAGAGGGGGGCCTCTTGGGGGAGGGGAAGGCTGGAGAACAAGTGGAACTATCATGAAATGTTCCTAAAAGTGCAGGGCCTGCAGGCTCATCAGGTCTGTCTCCCAAACAGAATGGCTCAAATGATGGCAGGAGTGAAAAGTAGCTATGGGACCTGAGACATGCACGGGACCAGGTGAGGGTCCGGCCTGAGGAACTCGGAAGCAGCCTAATCCGATTCTCCCCACAGCTGTCTTCCTCACCGGGGAGGAGAGCATGCAGCTTGGGAACTGTCTGCAGGGAATTTCTGAGTGAACTACTCCTTCCTTGCCCCTCTGTGGTCCATTCTCAGGAGTTCAAAACAAAACCAGTCTACTGCAGGAAGAAAATCAGACACTGCATTCCAAAACCAAGTAGGAATGAATTTGAGGATCGCAATGCCATTTGTATGTTAATCTTCAATATAAACAGTGTAGTTAAATGAAGTTCAGATTTTAAGTCTTGAAGAGTGAGGCAGCTTTGGGATTTTTGTCCTTGGGAAAATCCACTTAGATCTATGGCTTTTGCGACCCATCCCTCAGGGATAAAGGTGCCTCAGGACAGAAGGAGCAGGTATCATGAAACCCTGTCTCCAGACAGGAAGACTCTCCAACAAGGTGTTTCACAAATGGTTCTGATATGTAAAAATCACCTGGGACCCACGCGGGTCCTTCTGAGTTAAAATCTTCAGGAGGGGGACATAGAAATCTGTTACTTAAGAAGCAACCCAGGTGATATTTATGCTTTAGCAAATTTAAGAAACATTGCTCTCATTGAATTTTGAGATGAAATAGGCCATCGGGACATTTCTGAGCTTAGGGCTGCTGTTGCTTAAGGAAATCTTACAGAATCCGTTTCGTGGTCAGCTTGCAAGCAGGGAGAAATGATCACCTGCCTTGCAGTCATGACTTTCCCTGCAGGCCTACTGCTGTCTCTCTCCCCTGGTAGGTAGTGATGGCCCCTCACGAACCATTGGTGGTGTTTGTTGACAACTATATCAAACTCCTTACGGACTGCAACACAGAAACCTTCCAGAAGATACTGGACATGAAGGTTAGTTCAGTGCCTTGTTTTGTCCACACTTGCATACCTTTGTCGCACTCAGTGGTTCTTAACGGGGGCTGGGGGGTGGGATACGGGCTCCTGGGGAGCTTTCTCAAAGTGCATATGCCTGACCCCATGCTGCAAACCAGATTCTAAGAAGTCTTCTGAGGAGAAGGATCTCAGGCTAACTTCCTGATGCTGCTGGTACCTCCATGCCCCTTCAAGAACCAGAAGGCTGGGGGCAGAAGGAGTGCAGTGGAGAGGACTAGTACCCTTCCCCACGCTGTCCCTTCTCTCCCGACCCCTTCTTTCTCTCCTTTCCTTTTATCTGTTTTCCCTCCCTCTGCTTTTCTCCCGGGCTACTACTGGCCCGGGCTGGTAACTCCCCTGAAGAAAGTGTTCATCCTCAGCCTAGAGTAATTATGCCGTTTGCACAACCAGATACTGCACTTTCCCCTCAGGCCTTTCTGGGGCCAGATTTCATGATTATCCTCCTTTGTCTTTCAACCTCAGGGGCTGAAGAGAAGCGAGCAGAGCAGCATGCTGGAACTCTTGCGCCAGAGGCTACCCACCCCGCCTTCAGGGCCAGAAGGCTCCAGCTCACTGTCCCTGCTGGCTCCAACACCGGAACAGGAATCCTCTCGTATCCGCAAGCTGGAGAAACTGATTAAAAAGAGACTGTAGGAGCCTACACGGAGCACTTTTTACCCCTGGCCCATGACCCTCAGCACCCCGCTGCCCGGAAGCCCCCCCACCCGCCCACCTCTCCTGTGCTCACCCTGACTTTCAGATCATCAGTCTTGAAACTTCCTGGGACATTTGGGTTGTTCATGAGTCTTCCCCATGACCTGTCTTGATTCGCGTCCTGATCAAGAAGCCAAGCAAGGGCAGGGTGATGAAAAGCCTCCTTAGTTGGTCCCGGATTCCTGCAGCAGAGGCAGTGGTGGGCGAAAGGGCCCTGCAGTCCACTTGTGTCCCACCCGTCCAGTTGTCACTGGCCTCACCGCCTCACCTCTGCAGTGACATCGCCCGGCATGTGGCCCCGTCTCCCGTGCCTGTGCAGGCAACTTGGGTGAGAAACCCTGGGTCTCCCCCCTTCCATCTGCCGCTGTTTGAGGTTACCTCTGCAGCCAGGCCCTAAGATTTGTCCTCCCTGCTCCGTGAGCGTGGCTCTGGGGCCCGAGTTGGCAAATGGCAGGTGGAGGACATTGGCCTTGCCTTATGAAGGCCATGGAGGCAGGAGCACTCTTCCTTGTAGATCCATTTCCTGGTACGTATTGTCATGACTGGGGCAGTGCCTTCTTCCCGTTTCCCCCTAACCTGCAGTCCTCTGTATACATCCAAGGAGAAAGTCCCACTGTATCTCTCACCCAGGAAGATTGTATGTGCCAGGCCTTGGAAGCAGGTGTCCTCTGTGCCATAGGGCTCCTTGCTTGGGGGTGGGGGTAGACCCATATCTGCACACTCACTGCATGACGTAAGCAGATTATTTTCTCCATTTCTTTATTCCCACGCTGCTCCTGACTTCTAGAGGAGGGATTGCCTTCTGTGAAGAGAAACTAAGATTTTTTCCTAGAAAAATTGTCCTAGGCTTTCTCCTCAGATGAAGCTGTGGGACAGTGCAGGAGGCCTGGGCCCTCTAATCCCCTTCCTGCCCATTTATTTTCAAGCCCAAATTACTTTCCAGAATGATCTGAAACAACAAAGGTGATGTGAAGTGCCAGAATGACATATGACTTTATTATTAACGGGAAAGAACCCAGATCCATGGATACCTTAGGAACAGAATGTTGACCTTAAACACCTGCTCAGAGCCTGGCCCAGCCCAGAACACACCCCGACCCCTGACCCCTGGCCTGCCCGTCCTGTCCGCTGGCACGCAGCCAGCAGAGCTTGGCAGAGAGAACTGCCTCCGTCCTCACATCGTCCTGCAGCGCGAGAACGGGCAGTGTAGCAGGTAGCTGCCCTGATTGGCCAGGTTCGCGGGGACCCCGAACCCCAGCTCACCGTGACCACAGCCTCGGGGGGGCCGCTGTTAGTGTGAGCATTCTTCGGGAATTCGGAACAAGTTGCTGGCCAGGTGGGGAGAGAGCTAAGGAGGAAGGAGGAGCTCTTTACAGAGAAGGCACGTAACAGGCCTCGGGATAAAATTGGGATATCAAATAGCACTCAGAAATGGGTTTTCAGGATAGAGGAAGTTTCCTGAAAATCCATACAACTTGTGATAGCCACACAGGAGGACACTTTAAGGTCTGAAAAGCAGACCAGGAACTGATGATTTCCCCCCTTCTTGTTCTCCAATCCCCTTCCCTCTCCGTTAACCTCCTCCCAGACTCTGTCCATCGCCCCCAGCTTTGATCCTGAGCCCTGTTTCTTCCTCAGCTTCCAGGCTCCTCTTGCTTGTCCATGTGACTCTGACATGCTGAGCATCTCAAACTCAACAGCGCTGGGAGGAAAGTGCGGCCCTTGGCTGAGCTCTCAGGAAAAGCTTGCTAAATAGGAAAGGGCAGATAGGGTGGGGAGGGGATTGGGCAAGCACGCGGGCAGAGCAGCCGGCAAGACTTCACTTTGCCGGGACAGCCGTCGTCTCACTCCGGTGACGTCCTACCGCCCGCACTAATGGAGGTTAGCCTCTCTTCCTGCTCTTGAAAGGGGGGGCCGATGGGCCCATCTGCAAACGGCACAGCCATTTGGGCCAGCCGTCGTCAACCTGGGGAGCCGGGGAAGCCGGCGGACCCCACCTGGTTCTTGTCCCTCTCGGTGTTTATAGATGCACACTTCTCTTTTTGGTTCATTCCTGAGGAGTCGTTTTCTGGACATCCCCGTAACGCATTGAGATGTCAAGCCGCTGTTTTCTCCCAGTTGGTGGTCACAGCCAGGGAAGTTGCTCTCTTGATTTATTACATTGTCAGGAATCTCCAAGGAGCTAACAGATGTCAGTAGGAGTTATATTAAATGTCTCGTTGATGGGGTCTGAATGCTGTGTATGCATCCTCTAAAGACAGAGCACGTTTCTCAACCGGGGGTACGCATCAGAATCACCTGGGGCCCTTTTTACACGTATAGTTGCCTGGAGATTCTGAATCAGTATGTCTGGAGTGGGGCCAGGTACAGAAGTAATTACAATGTTTACCCCTTTGTTAAAAACCACTGCAATAGAGAGAAATTTGCTTTATCACAGTGTTCCTGTAGCACATTTTCATAAATGTATATTTATCCTGTCTCTCTAATCAAGTGTAATTCCTATACAATTGAGCTGGGACCAACATGGTAAAGATTCGTTGCTAATATCCAGCAGCTTTAATTTTAAGCTTGTGTTGATGATAGGGATCATGCCAGAATTGTGCTGTCCCTATACAGACTAGAATTCTTAAAGTTTTGACGGCCAAGCCCCAAACAGATTTGTTCTATTACTGTCACTTCAAAATAACATGAAGGAGGACTCACTGGTAATAACTTAACAACACTGTTACTCAGCTAAATTAGATATTGTACCCATTCCTCCCCCCGGCTTTCTCTAACTCTTTAAAAAAAAAAAAAACTTTGAAGACACTTTGTGTGGTTAAAATAAATATTAATAATTTATGATTGATAAAGATCTGCTGTTCTTCTTACGGACAGACTTCCTGATAGCTGGCTTAGAGGTGCCCAGGCTGGAGAAAGTTCCGTTTGGATCATAACAGTGAGACAGGAACCACAACGGACAAGAGTGTTTTGACCTCCAAGTTCAGTTCTGGAATTGAAACTGTCACCACTCCTCCCTCTCTTAAAGAACAAAGAACTAGTACCTAGGACTTTGCCTGCCCCCCAGAGAAAGATACCTGGTCTCTCATGCCCAGGATGGCTCTTCGGTGCTGATCAAACGGACTGAGAGCAGACTGCCAAAGACCAGGGTGACAGTCACAGGGCGGACGGGGCGAGCAAACAGGTCTGCGGCTGCTGCCGATGGGGGGCTCTTACCCCAGCCTGTCCTGGATTGCCGTTGCACAAGGAAATCTAGTCCCCCTGTTTGCGGAATGCTAGGGAAAATGCCAAAAGGTCACAGCTGAAAATGTAATTCCTCTCCCTAGGAAGAGAAGTCTCCAAAATAACTAGCTTGCTGACGGTGAAAGCAAGGGTTTCACACTTCTGATCTACTCCAAGTCAGATTTCTAAAAATAAAATCATTAGAACTGCATTGGGCCACTTAAACAATAGCCTTGGAAACATGGCCACATGAGAAGCTGGAGTGCAGAAAGAGTCCGTGTTGCAAATCCAAATTTCCAGTCTCATTCTAGTATTTATCAAAAGAGATAGTCTCTCAGACCCTCAAAGTTCTATACCTTTGGGAGATATCAATTTCCTTAAAATAAAGGGACTGCTTTTTGTGTAAATATCTTTCATTTCCCCCATCTGGAAGTGATTTCTCGGTGCATATTGGAGCATGAAGTACTACAGTTAATTAAAGCATTACTGGATGTCATTTGCTAGGGTGTATTTCCTCACTGTTGACAGAAAACAGAATGGACCATAGGAAAGAATCAGGAAATTCATGAGCCGTGGGCCCCCCGCAGCGTTTCCCCTGCCCCCTGCCCAAGACGGGGCCCTTCCCTGACTCCCGAAGGGAGCAATGCCTGAAGACAGCCCCGCTCGTCGGCAGGGTCCTAGCATGTCCGGGCTGTGCTGGACACCCTCTATAAATATGTATAAAGTGTGCTGCTTCCAATTTGGAACCCTTCCTGTGCCCTGAATTTCTATCCTGTTGACTTTCCCTTCTCCACTGTGCTGTTCCAGTCATAGCCTGCTTTTCCATGTGACTGCAAAGGAGTGCTCTCCTGTACACAGTAAGTTAATCCTGTTTCCTTAATAACTGGGTGGGCATTTTGCAGTGAACTTCTTGGGAAGTCTGGTGTTTCTTTCAGCAGTGGAAAATCTGTTGCGGCACTTGATTCGG